CTCATGAACATGAAAGGAATGAAAAAAATACAAAAATAACAAAAGATATTTGGAAGGTCCTTATTGATCATGTAGGAGTTTTGGAAGATAATATAGTAATTAATTAATTAGTAATTAAGTGTATATATTTAGTGTAATGATCCAGAGGACCAACACTGGTACGCATTCATAATCAAAATCTTTAACTATAAAAAATTAAAATGAAACTAAAATTGAGAAATAGAAATCTTATTAAGACCTTTCAAAATGAATTATTCATTTCCTTCCTGAGTAAGTGGGATTATAGGAATGTCCCAGCTTGGCCAACTCTCCAGCTAGTTTAATCAGAATGGACTATGACCTTTTGCCTAGATGTGTAGCTTGTGGGGAAGAAGAGAATACAACCTTCTATATTTGAGTTTTTCTAGCTATATTTGATTTTCCTAAACATATTTATGCTTTAACTTGAAGAAAAATGTTTAAAGTGTATTAAAAGGCTTTTTATCAGTAATATATAGAAAGTTGAGATTAATAATTAAAGCACAAGAATTGGGGATATATACATATATATATTCAAAGATACACACAATATATACATATATTTATAAACGTATAAGATGTGTGTGTGTCTTGATAAATTGTCTTCCTAGATCAAAGAAAGTTTGGAGTTTTTAAAATTTTCTCAGAGACTAATTCTAAGGTGAATATAGTTTTAAAACTTAATAAATCATCTAATTTAAACCTATTAAGGAAAAGTGTCTTCTATAAAATTTTCATTCTCTTCGTTAGATATTTAAACATTTTCATTCCCATAGTTAGACATTGAAGAGATTTTATTTCAAGAGAAAACATGCATGTTGGAACTTTTTAATCAAAAGGTAAATATCACCTAATTATACTGACCAGAGATGATCCAGATCTGGCACACACAAAGCACACTATCAGAGACAAAATTCAACATGATAGACCATCATGTACACATGTACTTGGCAATTGGCTTCTTCCAAAAATTTAATCTGCAAACCTCCACAGAGAATTCATTATATGCAAAGGATCAAAATGTTTTGAAAAGAAAACAAACTGATTTCATAAAAGCATTAAAAAATACACAAAAAAGAGTAAGTCAGATAAGAGTACACTTGAGGGAGTCTAAATCTCCACTATACTGTTATGAAATATTTGACCCTATTTAAAGTGCCTGGCCATTGGGCAACCCAGGTGCTACCATGGTAAAATAAACATACCTGTAGTTTGTAAAACTATCATTGGAAGAATTTTAAAATTTAAAGTAAAAACCTAACTGGCTAAACATGAATTTACTTTGAGTTAGTAAGACTCATACAATTCAAAATTAGTCAAGAGGAAAAAAAACTTCAAAAGATTTGAAATGAAATACTTTTTGCTTCTTTATTGGTGAATGTGGTAATTGGCAGCCCTAATTATCACCGAGCTGACTTACGGAGTGGTACTCAGTAACATCAACTGATGATACTCAAAGTAAGAAATGACAAAAGAAAGCAATATTTTAAAGATGCACACAAATTTGAACTAAATCTTTCACATAAAAAACTTGTTACCTAAAGAGAAAATATTTATCAGATTAACATTTTCTGTTCCTAGATGATTTTGTTTATTTATATCCTCATATACATAGCTAAAGTGGTTAAACCTGACACCCCAGAAATTTTTGTTTGACTTTATGACACTTTTACTAATTTACTATTCAAAGAAATCATGATATGATAACAAATGACATTTTAAGTCCTTTAGAACATAACAGTACATTCCAATAATACTGTACAGAATTAAAAACCCAAAGTAGGAGGGCTGAGGATTTAGCTCAGTGGCACAGAGCTTGCCTGGCAAGCCCAAGGTCATGAGTTCAATTCCTGGTACTGGAAGAAAAACAAACAAAAAAAACAAAAAACAAAATAAAAAACCCAAAGTATATCAATACTTCAGGTGTGTTTCTTTAGTAACCATCAGACAGTATCAATGAACCATGTAAAAACACACCTAATAAAGTGAAATCATCAGTGTCAAATATAAATATAAATCTAATGTATATTTGATTTCAAGAACAGCAAATAAATAATCTAATCACTTAAAAATTAACAAAGCATGAAATTCCTTCTTTAAATGTAGATGGCAAAACATGAATGAAGCCCTTGCCTTCAAACCAGACTATCCGTTTTGAAATAAAAGAAACCCTTATCAGCTGGATTCATCAGTAGCAGCTATTTAAATTTATCTGGCTCAATTACTCATTTAAGTTTTATTATGCGGTCACAGAAGTGTTTCCTGGAGAGGGCACTTCCACATGACAAGAAGAATGCAGGGAGGACAGAGTGCTGAACAGAATGAGAGGGACATGTAGGAAAATACTAGTGTACCTATGAATACTAGCCAGACTTAACCAATGGAAAAGGAGAAATTGATGATGCAGGAAAACCATGTTTAAAGGAGAAAGTCTTGAAACTGCTAAGAGAGAATGGGATCCAATGAACAAGTGATAAAATGAACAAGTGATGATGTCTAAGGTTGTCCTCAGACAAGAACAGAAATTCTCCATCCATCACAGTAATAGGAAATTCACAGGGTGTGTATGTTTGTGTGTACATGATATGGAGTTATTCTTTTGAATAGACAAAGAGCTCATGCATATTATGGAATAACAAAGCTAGTATACATCAGTTGTGTTAATGAATATATATTCATACTAACGCACGTACTAATGATATATATACAAATGAATTGTGCTGATGAATATATATATGCTTATTACTAAAAGGAAAATGAAATTGGAAAAAATGATATGAAGCTGTATCTTATGTATTGCCTTTGCTAATTGAAAATTTAATTCTTAAGTTTCTACTCATTACCTCCTTACTTACTATGGATGATTTATCAATAGGATCATTTTACAACACTAACCATAAAAGAGCCATACTCAAATTTTATCTTCCTTGACAGATGTTGTCCTATCACTTTAGTTTTCTCTGACTTCCTTTTGGTCTCTAGGTTGCACCTCATAATGCAAACAACACTCCCTCATTCCATTTTTGTCTCTTGCTCAAATATATGTTAAGGTTTCAGAGTCCAGAGTGCTAACCATTACACTATGGAACCACCACATGCTAAGGTTTCAGGATGGGACCAAGTGTCTTACAGAAAAAGTCATAGTCTCTCTCACTGTGAAAACCTAATATTAGATATAAAGTAAGTACTTCATGAATGTTGTTGACCAATTTGTCTTTTTAGAGTTGAATGGCTGATAAAAAGTATTATGCAGCAATTTCTCGGCTAATAGAATAAGCATAATTCTTTATGGCACCTGCGGGGCCTTGCTGGGAAGTGCTGAAATCGTTCATCAATTTTCTCCCTTATGGGCAATTCAATTTTTTTTGGGGGGGATGTTGAGATATAAAATGTGTGTCAATCAAAAGCATAATAGTGAGCTGTGCACATACTATGTTCATACTAGTGACTTGCATCTACTATCTCACAGAAGAGCATGTCTAAAAAGGTATCCAAGTATGGGAAGCTTTAAGGACCTTGTAATATCGAGCATGAAAAATTTTGAAATCAATTTGGTCGTATCCTTAGTGGAAAAATGCTATTAATATGAATATTATTAAGAAAATATTCATAGCCAAAGTCTCTTTTGCATTCTCTTAGATATTTTTTTCAGTCTACATTGAAATATTAGGTGCATATGAATTTCTATTTCCTTGAATTTTGTGAAGCACAAGTTTAATTCCTAATTTAATTCTTAATTATTAAGCCAGTTGAAGATATTTGGCTAATGATACATTTAAACAGTAGTGCAAATATTACTTATATATATTTTCTCATAGTTAATAGCACTATATTATCCTGTAATATTGCCCTTTAACTTTATCCAACAAGTTACCACAGACAGTTAATGAGTTAACAATTAGAGTAATTGTTAAATCACAGATATTGCACATAGCAGTCGGAGAGCTCTATGGAAGTAAGTGACAGTTACTGTTAAATTTTGTCATTTTAAAGTAGCTATTGACAGACTGAAGTACTTTGAATTTTAGTATTATATGTAAATTGAGAAGCTAATGAAAACCAAAATAAAACAGATATTCTATTTTGGTCTCTAGGTTGCACCCATAATTTCAGGATCTATGAAATCTATACCAAATTTCTATAATTTCAGGATCTATGAAATCTATACCAAAAATATCATTACGAACATTACTTCAGGAGAATCTCATAGCATTAGACAAGATAATATTTTTTAAAGATTTGTTGCATAAAATTCTGTAATTGAAACATTTAATGAATTCAATGAGATGTATATACATTTATAAGATTTCAATTTTTTAATGTTTACCCTTGAACTGATTATAATAATCATTAGGTCTATAGGTAACTAACATTAAAGGCTGTTTAGCTATTATTATAGGCTTCTACTCATTTTTCACTAACTTTGATGGATTTTTACTCTGTTTTTATTTATCCCACATATTAGATTCTAAATAGTTGTAAAATGAAAAAACTTACATTGTCCATCTAAAACATAAATCCAGAAATTTTAGAATTATTTTTAAATTAAACAGTGAACTATGATCCATTGATTCTCTTTGTGGGTTATTGAATGAAAGAAAAATACACTTGCTAGGGTTATTTTTATCTAATCACCAAGAAAAGAAAGATACAAATCTTTCTCTTAAAGCTCTTTCTCCTCCATGGAAGGAATAAACCTTAAAATGGAGATTAATAAGTAATTGACAGCCCAGACTTAAATACTTTAAATGTGATCATATAATATCTTGGTAAACGTAAGGATTTTGAAAGCCATAAAATTAAAAACATGCGTATGTGTAAGATCAATAGGTATGACTTATCACTATTTCATATGAGCTTTAATTTTTAAATGCCATGTTCCAGTGAGAAAGTGTACTGCACAGGAAAATTGAAATTTCAATAAAGAATCAAGACAAAGAAACAAACTTCATATTAAAGTACCTTTAAGAGGCTATACTTACGCAGCAACCTCCTCTTTTGACAATCCTTTGAAATTCACCTCCAGGTAATGATCTATGTCCTCTTTTTCTTTAATCAGTTGAGACCTACATGAAGTGCAAAGAAATAATAAAGCACTGCCTTATGAAGTTGAAAAGCTCCCAAACACATAAAATGCCAACAGGAGAACAGAAGTATTCAGGGCATAATAGCATCGATAATAAATATTCTGAAATCACTATAGAGTTCGGTTGTTGGTGGATCATTTCAAAATTTTAATTTTTCTGAATGGAAACAGATAGGGAAGATCATTAAAGCCAGTGTATAAGCAAGTAAAACAGCAACAAATTGCAATAATACACTTTCTTAAAGAAGTGGAGTTTTCTCCTCAACAATTATAATGTCTTCCATCTTGTTCATGCTGTTTCACAGCATAAAATTCTGGCTGCAAAAGTCGTATGTATCTAGCATACAATCTTGAATCAAGAGCATTTATTTGATAAAAACATTATTAGTTTTTTCCTGAAATGCTGTTTAAATAGCATTTTTAAAAATCACACATAAATTTCAAATTATTAGAGGTTAAATGCATGATTTTTAAGACTTTGTTGAGCAATGTATCTGTAGTGTTCTCACACTTCACAACTCCTTTACTTGAGAAAATAAACATGCTATTAACCTCTCATAACCATCAAGATACGGAACTAAGCACATATCTTTGCTATAGTCAGAAGCTATTAATGACTGTGAAATTTACCCTAAGGGTTAACTATAAAAACATTTTTCTTCAGTAAAATGAATAAAAGAAGTTTTCTTTAAAATCCACCTGATTTTAGGAATTGCTCACCTTGAAAAGAAAATAAAATCTCAATCATTCAAAAAGACAGGAAAAACAAGGTTTTTTTTTTCAGACTTTGCAAACATTTCACAGTATGCAAATGTGAGAGGCAAAGCTGGAACAGACATAGAAATTATGCATCTATCAAAAGCTTTTTCAGCTACAGAAAAAGAAATTTTTGATTTGTTGTTTTAAAAGAACTTTTATGTTAGTTTAGCTGTGTATTTATTTTGGTCCAGGGACTTTGGTCTTTTCCAGAAATACTAAAAATGAGATATAAGAACAAAGAAGTCTTATAATACTTTGATCACTATGCCTTGCAGGAATTGAGAATTATGTATATAAAGAAAATAGTCAAACTTACACATGCAAATTATTCATACTGATAAATATACATATTACTAAAAATCAATAAAATTACAAATGGCAATTTCAAAGTTGCACAATCTCAGGTTATAATCATAAATATGATAAAAAAATGCCTCAAATTCTCTGTTCTGCAGTTTCTCAGTGACAACTCCAGTCACAAGCTGCAGCAGTTTGACGATGTACATTTTAGATCTCAGCATAATTTCAGAGCTAAATCGTGCCCACCAATCTAACCTAGTAGGGAAGGTGCACCCTTGTGCCTTCGAGAGCTTATTTGGAGGTTCAGCAGAGAAGTGCAGCTACTGCTACACCGTTGAGTTGACCTAGGAAATGGTCCTCTTCGGAGCTTCAGGAAGGGGAGGGATGCACAACGAGCGGTGAGGGAGGAAGGGGACACCTGTCCTGACAGCCAGAGCAGCCCAGTCAAACCCGGTGATCCATGAGTGACAGATGCTGCTGCCCGATCACCCTCACATCCACACTTGTCCCTTTAAAACAGTGTTTATGGTCTTGTGGATTAAAAGCCACATACCTTTCATTTTAAAAGTTTCTTTGCTTTCTTTACACACATTTTTAAAAGAAACATCTCGAAACTCTTCAGGAACTGTGACATAATTGCAAAAGGAAGCAAAATGATTAAAGGAGCATTAGCTTGAGAAATGTATTTACAGTTTTTGAGTGAGGTTCATCAGTCCTCTTGAAACAAATCTGAACGCCTGATTTCTTTTCCTTAAACGGTTTCATTTTCCGAGGTGTTCCATTGTCATCTCTTACTGAAGACATTTTATTCTGCAGGAAAAGAATTGCCAACCAGGGCAACATACCTTGGAATTGTGCTTGCGGAGCATGGCAGCTTCTGTCTGGCTAAAGCCATAAGCTTTGGACGCGTCATTGTCGGTGGGGGAAGGGTGGTCATTTTGGACTATGAAAAATAAGCAGAAATGACACTGTAAAGAATGAATCCTCAAAAAATTCTTTATGGTGTGATTAGCAATCTAGTCTGTCTTCCTGGGGCAGAACACCTCCATAGGTAGAGCTATTGTTATGTTACTCAGGAACAACACTTGTGAATGGATTCTACATGTTGCTTGTCTCATTATTTTTGTCTACTGTTTGCTTCTCAGCCAATTTATTCCTTGTCTGCAGCCAGTTTATTACTAATCTCCACCACAAACTAGATAAGAAGGAAACCTGATGAATGCATTGAAGATTCAGATAACCAGCTTGCTCTGCTAAGTTTTGCTAAGGGGCGTGGTTGCAGTTAACGGATGAAGCTTCTTCCGCTAGCTGTGGATTTCAGATGCTTATGCCTCGCTCTCCTGTCACAATCAATGATAAAAAATAGCTCAAACTTTATTGTTTTCTCAACACCTCACCATTTACAGGTTAAAGTTTCCTTAGAAGTGATGGGTGCTAGAATAATTCTCAATGAGAGAGCTCCCTTGCTCAGGAAGCACATAGCTATAATATGTAGTATAAATACAGCGACTTTAAACGTTGTTTAAAATAACATTATGTCTCACAATTTATAAGTATCAGGAATTTGGACATGGCGTAACAGAGATGACTCTTCTCTGCTCTGTGATGACTGGGGCCTCTGCTGGGAAGGCTCGGAAGCTGAGATAACACAGTGGTGAGGGACGGTCGTCAGCTGCACCTGTCTTCACTCAGGTATCTGGTGTTGGAGCTAACTCTTAGCTGGGATCTCCACTGGGGCTGTCTGTTGAAATACATATGTGTGGTCTGCTCATACGGGTTGAGTTTCCTCACAGCACGGCAACCTCAGATGCCTTATGGGACAGCTCCGGGCTCGAAAAACAAGAATCTCAACAAAATGTCAGGTGGTAGCTGTATCTCTTTTGAGAGTCTGGCCTTGAAAGTCAGATAGTGTCACTTCTACTATAATAACAGGCCTGTCCAAACTCAATGCAAGTGAACACAGAACCATCTCCTGATGGACAGTGTCAAAGGCATGCTGCAAGAAGATAATGCGGGGTGAGAGACACAGTGCGGAGTTGTTTAGAAAATGCAGTGTGCCACAGTGGGGAGCAATAGGAAAGGCAAGTTTACAACATCAAGTTATTTAAACTCTTAACCCCAGTGGAAGCAATATGGGCATAAGATTTGGTAGATTTAGAACAGAAAAATTGTCACATGTTGCAAGCACTCTCAGGGCAAGATAACCCATACTTCTGTTAAACAGAGGGGCATCCCAACAGCCAAAATCCACCTGCCTCCAAGTATGTCCTCCAGCTTTGGCTTCTACCTTAAGCATCACCAAATATCTGGAAGGGTTCTTGTAGGTATCAAATCACTATATATAGCATTTCATACCTGTACGATGAACAGTAAATCATAATGAAGATAGGCCTTGTATATATTCAATAGGTGTTTATTGAACTACTACTATGAGACAGGGTACTGTTCTAAGTACCAAATGTTAGTGAACAAAAAGACAAACCTCTCTGACTTCACAGAATCCCATTATAGGCATGGAGACAGACGGTACACAGTAAGCAAAAATATATAGAATAAATGTATCCTATAAATATCTTATCATCAAAATATCTGAGATATATCTTATCCATCCAGATGATGGATGATAAGATTTGATAGTGATAAATACAGCAGAGAACTAGAAACTACACACATGCTCACAAACACAGGAGGGATAAATAAGAGCAAAGCAGATGAAGTCAAAGAAGCTAGGGATAGTTTTGGTAGTGTACCCGCAATGCAGTCTTGAAAGTTACTATAAAAACTGTAACTTTTTTGTCATCGAGGTAAGAATTCATTGGAGGATACGTAACATCAAAGTGGTGTGATTTCACATTCACTTTGAAAGAATCACTCTGGTGTGGCTTTCTTCCGGAGTTAGACTGTAGGGAAAGGAAGGCAGACAGCAGAGAGGGCAGCTAGGAGCTGCTGTGGTATCTGGATGGGAGACGACAGTGGTTTATGCAGACAAGAAAGTAAGGGTGTGGTCAGGACCAACACATGTCCACCTCTGGGCAGCTGAGTCATGATAGTCCTCTGGCGCCCCGAAGCCATAGTTAGGTGGGGTGGGGGAGGAACATGAAGACCTTCAGGGAAATCTTTTGAAATTCAGTATAGAGATGGGCAGTCTTGTATATCTGAAAAAGTTTATTACCTTGGCCTAAAAATATTTTTTCACCTACTTGAAAAGATACTTCCAATGCAGATCAATGCTTTATTTTAAATATAACACAATCCTAATCTTAGTTTATTGAGGCATGACATGTTCCACAAATCCTTTTTTATACACTTTTAGCTTGAAAACATGGTCAACCGTAAATATGAGTCCCTTCCTGCAGAAAAAACATCAAAAGATATTGCTTTGCACAGAATAACTTCATAATATAATGGCTTGTTTTCTAACTTAATATATTTGATCCAATGTTGTATTAGCAGAGTTACTTGGAAAACAAGAATCTACTACATGGCAACATCATGCAGAACTCTTGTTAAAGGGTATTGACTAACATAAGCTGAACTCCACGGACAGATTTGAGTGGACACCGCAGGCTCCTCCAGTTCACTTCCTGTGAGTTTACTCCACAGCAATGGTAATGACTGCATTTCAGAGGTCTCCAAAGTTAGAGAGTGAATTTGAGCTAACCCAGTTCTTAACCCTTACCTAGCCCTGATGGATTTCAAAAAGGATAGAAGATAACAATAATCACAGTGTATCGAGTAAGGACATTCCATCTCTACTAGTTAAGATTTTCTGAAGGTCCCTCTTTGCTTACCCGGATGTTACACAGCGGGTACTGGGGCCAGAAGAAACTGCACAGTGGGCACCTTTGAAAGGCTCATCAAGAGGCTTCCCCCAAACTAGGAAGACCTAACTATTTGCAGACAGAGAAATAAAATCCTAGAATCTCTGATCTGGTCAGTATTTCCCATCAAGGTGCATACAATTCCTCCTCCTAGGGTGGGCTAGTCTGTTATGTAAAATTCATCCTTGTTCATTTTTGTTTGTGATATACATTTTTTTTCTAGAAGATATGGGCATCTAATGAAACCAAATGCAAATGATATACATGGAGACGAACATGTCTTCTTTGTCACACAGATCAACTACAATTTTTAAAAAATTCTGAGTCAACGTTTCCTACCATTAAAGTTTCAGCTGCCAGTTTCTTCATTTTGCTCTCCTCTGATCTGAGAACATGAGCAGCAGGAGCACCTTTACTCTTAAATTTAGTTTAATGTAAGTATTGCAAGCCCTGCTGGCAAGCCTCAAGGCACAAACTGAACGGGGGGTGGTCAGAGCTGAATTAGAAAGTGAGAAAAGTTATTAACTGCATGCTGGAAAAATAGCCCTCAATCAATCTATGTTGGAAAGTGTAAGCTCATAGTTAGGATGAAAATCCAGTAGGTTGTCTTTTTGCTCTAAATCCTATACCCTACCTTGCCTATACCTGTTGGGCAAAGGTATTTTTTCATAATCAATACATGCTCATAGACGGGTGTTTTATTTTATACAATAGATGTGTGATCTGAATTTCTTGATGCACATGATATTTGAAACGCATGCAAATTATTATCTACACAATCACTGTCTTTTTATGACTTAAAGTTTAATATTATTTATGCTGAATTCTCCTAAAGTAGGAATGAGCTATATTCAAGCAAGCAGAAGCAGCCAAGAGGAAAGAAAGAGGGAAGAAATGCAAGCACGTTCAGGGACCTGACAGTTCGGGCTTTCATTATACCTACAGAGTGATGAAAGCCTTTTATTCTGTGTTAACATGAGTTGCAGTGTTTTCCCTGTGTTGGCCAGACAGCGTTCCAAGTTCCTAGGTGAGCCCCAACCTAGACTTGACAATGAGGATTGTGACTAGTGCAGTGTGCTGAATGTCTTAGGCCCATAGCAGAAATGGAACATATTGCCCTTGGCCATCAGGCTCCTCCCAGCTTGTTACTGCAGAGGAGAAAACACAAGAGGCATGTAGTTTAAGGAGGGGAACAGCTCCTCAGGTAAGAGAGAAGGAGAATGAGAAGTACCTTTCTGGCTGGTACTGAAGTGAATTTAGCCCATAGAACCCAGGCTGAATCAGTCTGCTTAGAGGACCCAGAGGCAGTCTGTCAGTGCCAGCAAGTGGGCAGTGCTACATGTGGCACCACAGGGCTGAGACAAAGATCAAAAGGCCGCCCGAAGCCATTCCACTGTTGGTATTCAGAAGAGATTTGGTGCAATCTTTGATCTGCTGGTTGGTTCTTGTATCAGCGGTTACAGTCTCTAAGTTTGGCCCCCACATGCGAAGACAAATGAGAATGGAAAAATACAGGATGAAAGGTTTGAAAGTTCTGGGTCAGAGTAAATGTGTTTCATGGTGTGAGTTTAAATTTCTGGCCCCCAAGTAAAATTCTTCAAAGAGTAACCCTCCCCTCTGCCCTCTATCCCAGGGAGGCCATCATCAGGAAACATGGCAGGGGGTGCCTGGACAGAGGCTACTTGGGAAAGAACTGGGTCTGAGGCTGACCGGTCCCCAGGGTTCAGTCACTTTGGGGTACAAGTTGGCATGACAGAGATAAGGCAATAAGCCACAGCATGAAAATTTATTACATATCCTCCAGGGAGTTCAAAGTAAATATGACAAAATTATTTATAAGAATTAAAACTTCTCATACCACCACCAGAAACTCTTGTATTAAGGAAGCTTAAAGAAAACTACAGAAGAAAAATCAGAAATCATGCTCCTTGTAACAGTAAAAACTATTCACATTTATAAGTTTAAGGTGTTGTTAATAATGTTTATCCCTTGCCTTAAAACTTTTTCAAACTTCTGCCATTCTGTGATAGATAATTAGGTAAGTTGTTAAATAAATAGAAATCACACTTCTCCCACCAACTGACATTTATTGATGGTTAAATAAAAATATAAAGTAGGAAAAGTGTTTGAAAGCAGGTCACCTTTCACTTGACTTACATTTACAGATTATAATGAATGTCTCTCCAACCTTACAGATTTCAGCCTGAAAACCAGGAAGCAAAATATAATATAGTAAAGGAGAGAGGAAAAATAAAGTCACAAGTCAGTACAATGACTCCTCTGCTTGTCCCAAGTTACGGAATTCAGTTCATTCATATAAAAAAATGCTAAATTACTTGCTAAGTGGGTAGGTGAACTTTAAACAGAATGAAGTGTAGATCCTATGAAACTAATCACTACCTGAAGGAATGCCAAGACATCTGAAATATGTATGCGTATTGATGTATTCCAATGCAGTTTTTGCTCTTAAAATTATAAAATAGGGTTAATTTTATTTATTATTCTTTTCTTTTCATCTTTCTTTCTTTCTTTCTTTCTTTCTTTCTTTCTTTCTTTCTTTCTTTCTTTTCTTTCTTTCACCAAAACCAAGAGAGGCTCAGTTCCCTTGCTTCCTCCCACTTCTGAACAGAACTGATGGACTTATCCCTCCACCTATTTACTTTTCCAGGTGAACTGCCAAGCAAAAGCAGCATTCGTTTTGTTTTTGAGCTACACGGCGAGGGCCTCGACTTAGGAAGCATGACAACTCTGACGCAGGAAGGTCTCACCGGCTCAGGGAGGCCCGGAAGAACAGCCCACCTCTCCTAGAAGAGGACAAAGACCTGTCGCCAGCCTAGCCCAAGCAGTCACAAACCTCGCTGGACTGACTCTGCGGAGCAACTCTGGTTTTCCGTTCTGCCCAAGATCCCCTCTACTGGTACCAGGTGCGGAGCTGTTCAGAGGCCGCAGGGCGAAAAGAGGGGACGCAGAGAGCGTCTCCAGGGAAACAGAGAGCAAGGCGGGGCGGGCGGGGGCGGAGTTAGGCTAAACCGGGCTTGGGGATTGGGCAGCGCTCAGACTCTCCGGGTGTGGGCCGGTGCCTGGGGGTGGGGCCATCGATTCCGGACCTCTGGCCGAGCTGGCTTCCCTAGCAAGGCCGCTTTCCAAGTTCACAGAACCCGGGCTTGAGCTGACCGCCTAAGTCATTTCCTTCACAGCTATACATTCTCAGCTTTTTAGCCACATTTCCGTTTGCCCACGAGATTGGTGGAAAACCGCTCATTTTGCATTCATAAGCCCCATGACCTGTTGCCATTTTGTACATCTGGATAAATCACCCACTGCCCTCTCGGTCACCTGTTGCGTTCGAACCTGTGCAAATACCTTTCCCAATCCTATCTCCAGTAAGATAACCCAATTTTGAGTTGTAATCAACTAAAAAATACTCAGACCTTGCATCCTGTCCTTTATTACTATTATTATTATTACTAGTATTACTATTGCTGAACGTTCAGGTGAAATTCAGGATTTTATATTTACCCAGTCTAATCGTTACCCTGCTAAGCTCATCCCGTTTTTTCCTTCTCTCGCATGTAGGTGCAAGGGAATGAACCCTCTTGCTCGTTCTCTTATATGCATAGGGGCAAACGAGTGAGCCTCGTTGCTTAAAATTCTCAAATCCAGATGCCAGTGAAGTGTAGCTTTTATTCACACCCCCTGTTACACACTGTAAGAGAGGGAGCGCCAATAGTGCTCATCTGGCTCTTTCTATTAACCGGAAATTGATTCTGTTTGGAGTACAAGCGTGACAACCCTAACCACACTTTCATTACAACATCTAATTTGCTGTAACAAATCACTGAATTATTTCCACCAAGCAGGTTTACCTTACACGTTCAGTTGATCTCTGTGACTACCTGTAATTGGGCTCCGCCTCATTCTTCACATTAGGAAGTCCCCTTCTATTCTCGTGAATTCACTTGCCGGCTTTCACTTGACGCAGTTCTGCTGTGACTTGTGTAAATTTTGTTTCTCTCCTTGCTGTTTTTCCGTGTTGGAGATTTGTGAATTCTGTGCGTCTCATCTCTCACTTGTACCTCACTTGGTTGGCTTTCTAGGTTGCTGCTTTCTTCCTTTTTGGAATTATTCTTTCTGCAGCTGTATTTTTTCACTGGCAATACTGTGACTAATTCTCTTTCTCCTACTCGGCAAAGGATTTCTCAGAGCCACGAAATTCAGTTAGATAACTTTATTTGCAAGCGACAGAAAACTCAAAAAGGCTTAAGCAAAAAGAGGAAACTTTCCTACAAAGGATGCCAGCTTCATGTGGCACTTTTCTAGAAATTTGGGCCCTTCTGAAAGTTCTAAGGACTCTAAATCACTCCTGGCATTCTCCAGAGAATTAATTTGTACCTCTGCTTCTTCCTCTTAGACCTACCTTAATTATATCTATATCTCTTTGCATAGCACTTAGTTGGTATAAGCCAGTCTTCTCTGAGAGATTGTAAATTCATTTTTTAAAACTTTTATTAGTACAGGCTTGCTGTATATAATGATTGCATTCACTGCAGGGATCAGTAGATTGCAAAATTGAGAGTGTTCACATAGAAGTTATTACAAAGAGATATTAGCTTATTCTTGTCATTGCCTTACTTCCCTGTTGCTGATTTCCTCATTTGTCCCTTTTTGCTTAGCTGTTTATCCCGTGAGGTGTATTCAATCTTTTTGTCTTAATGACCTTATTGTTTCTTTCTGGGATATCCTTGAGAAATTTTTTTTTTCCAGTACCTGGAATCGAACTCATGACCTCGTGCTTGCCAAGCAGGCACTGTGCTGCTGAGCTAAATCCCCAGCCCCACCTTGAGAAATTTTTGTAATGCTTTGGTGGCCATGAATCTCTTGTAGTGCTCCTGGTCATGAATAGATCTTATTTCTCCATCAGTTTGAAAGGAAAATTTTTGCAGGTTATGTAAGTCAGAATTGGAAGATGTTATCTTTTATGGGTTGAAACACTTCACTCCAAGCCCTCCTAGCCTTTAACTTTTGTGTAGATAAGTTTGCTGTGATTTGATTGGGCCTAATTTTGTATGTGATTTGTTGGCTTTCTCTCACAGCTTTTAAGATTTTATCCCTGTGATGGACTTCATGAATTTTGAGTACACTGTAATATGGCATGGTGAGGTTCTGTTTTGATCATGGCTATCTGGTATTCTGTATGCTGTACTTCCCTGTATATTTATTTCTTACCCTACATTTGGGGAGTTTTCTGCCTCTATTTTGATGAACAGTTTTTTTTATGCTATTTGTTTTGTTTTCTGATTTTTCACTTATTCCAATTAGTCTTAGATTAGTTTTCTTTGTGTCACCTGCAAGTTACTGGACCAATTTTTCACTTCTCTTGCTGCTTTTAAGGTGTCATTGAGTAGCTGGTCTTGGAAGGTATAATTGCCTTCCAGTTCTGAAATTCTATCCTAAGACTAGTCTGTCCTGCTACTCATACTTTCAACATGATTGTTAATTTCTGATCAAAACCTTTTTCATGCACTCTAATTCTTTGGTAAACAGGTCATACATGTTTTTAATAAATTTATTTCACACATCTAGCTTTCTATTAGTATCTTGAGAGAGCTCTTGCATCTTTTTGATTATTACTTCCATTATATGTGGGATATCTTCTCTTATCCCACTGAGCATCTCCGAGCTGTTTTCTAACCTCTCTGCTATGCTTTGGAGGAATTCATGTGAGTGGCTTATATTATTCTGCCCCTTGTTGCCCCCAGAATTGGCTTTGGGGAAGTTAGGGGTTTGGGGAGGCATTTAGTTGCCTTTTCTTTCCATATTTCAATTGTTTTGTTTGTTTGTTTTGTTTCATGCTGAGGTCTGTGGCTGCTTATACTCTAAAAAGACTTTGTTGCTAGTATAGAGTTCTCTTCAGTTGCTTTTCAGTAATGTATTTAGGGTATGGCTAACTATCATCTTTTTCCACAACCCCAAGGTCTTGACCACTAGCTATTGTAGTGCACAGTATCCACTTCTTCATTCTACTGGTTTGTTTCTCCCTCGTGAGGTCTCGGGAGGTCTCCGGAGTTGCCCACTTTCACTGTATCTCTGTAGATCTGATCCTTCTTCCTCATGAGCAAGGAGCCAGGAGCTGGGGAGAAAGTATAGACTGCCCCTTCTTTCTTCTCCGTTCTGTTCTATCTCTTCAATTTCTTTGTCAGCTCCAATTCTCCTGTCAGATCTTTCCTGTTCCCAGGGATCCATCTCCCTCCTTCTCTTCCTCCCCAAGTTGTGATTTTCCAGTGTTTGGATTACAAATGTTGGAGAGGCTGATTTGCTGCTGCTTACCACTCTGTCATCTCCCTGAAAGTCCTGTAAACTCACTTAGCGTAGAGATTATTGGCCTATTTTCTTTTGTCTGGAAAATTATAGGGATTGATATACATTATGTGCTCGAAATATTTTTTGAATTAACTGAATGCATGACAGAGTAGATACAAGTTCCTCCAGCTGATTTTTTGTTATGTAATTCTCATTCTCTCTTTCTTTCCTACCTAGAATTCAAGGTGAGGACAGCAGTGATACAACTGATATTTTGCTCTTACTCCTGTAATAACAGCTAGAGTGCCCTTTTCTGACCTTTGCTCTGGAGAAGAGTTTTTAGGATATGTCAGCTCCCCAAAGATACAAATGCTAATCCTCTAGTGGAAGCCAATGCATCACTCTAAACAGCTGTTCTTGAACTATTAGATATCTCAGTCTTGCAAATTGAAAATTATTCTGAATCTTTCATATTTTATTTATGTGTTTTGCTGAATGTATTACTGTAATATCCAAAGACAGAATGTACTAGGTAAATTAGTTTTTGTGTTGGACGATGTCATTATTTTTCTTATGGTCGACTGGTAGGATTAGATATTCTAGGTTTACTATAATTTCTCTCAACATTTAGAAGGTATTATTTCATTTTACCTTATTGCCCAGTGTTTGTGATAAATCCAGTGCCACTTTCACTTTCCTTCCTTTCTGTGTGTTCTCTTAATTAGATTTGTGTTGGCAGTGACAACAACAACCATCAGGGCCTAAAAGTTTATTTCTTGATCACAATATGGAATCATGCCAAGTCACGCTTGGATTATGTTACATGTCATTGTCACAGCACAACTAGGCTCCTAGAATTGCCACCACCTTGATCATTGCTGGTCTATGGCAGAAAAGATAATGAAAACAAATTGCATATTAGCTTCAAAATATTCATCCATAATGACATCCACCACTTTCTTTCACATTTCATTGGCCACAATAACTCACACCATACTCAACTTCAGGCAGGAAACTGTGATCTCACCATGAGTCTGACTGAAGAACCAAATGTCTGGTCACAACGATTATTCTCCAATCTATTTTTCTCTCCTGAAAACAGGCACTTTCTTACTTTAATATTTTTATACTTTCAGGTCTGACAGTTCAAGAGGTTTTTGAGACAGAATCCTTTAGTCAAGAAGACATATCTTTCTTCAGAATTAGGTAGTTGTCTTTTATTTTAAAAATGATTTCTTTATGCAATTTTTCTTTCTCTGTGATTATAGATATTAAATATAGAACTCCTAGATCTGTTGTTTATATCTGTAATTTTTTTTGTTCATTCACATTCTCTTTGTTCCAAAGTCTGGAAAATTTTGAAAATATTACTGTCCAGTCTTTCACTGATGTTTTTGTGGGCAGAATGAGTCATACTCTTAGTATTTGAGAACTCCTTAATTTACTTGATTGTTCCTTTGAATAGATTCTTTTTATAATGAATATCACATCTTCTAAATTATTTCTGAATATTTTAATTAATTTTTACGGTTTCTTTTTTTTTCTTTAAATTGTCTTTTTCTCCAGGAAATTTTTTCTTTGGTTAATGCGGACATTTCTCTTTATGTAGCTTACTGTCTGGTTACTACATGAATTATCAATAAGTTCAGCTGCTAGTAACAGAAAGAAGACAAAG